AAGCCTTATGCCGAACACCACTGTCCTTTAGGCTGGCAGCAATTGCSTRTGSAACATGCCCTGCCCTGAGSAGCTCTGGCAACTCAGGCCTTCGTRATGTCAGTCACATTTCATTCCCAGATTCCTGCCAGACCACAGGGCCACTGATTTCTACTGTGCTCAACAATGCCTAAGAAAAGGACTCCCTTTAATGCACAAACCAGTCAGTGTTTTCCCAGAGCACAGGTCTTTCCTGACCCCACTCCAAATTCTCTCAGGCTTTGCTCACTGCTTTTGTGGCAATTCAAGGGCTAGTAAGGGTGATGGAGACCTGTGAGCTGAGCACACACTGAATCACAGAATCACAGAAGTACCAGGTTGGAAGAGACCTTCAAGATCATCGAGTCCAACCTCTGTCCTAACACCTCAACTAAACTAAATCATGGTACCGAGCGCCACATCCAATCTCTTTTTAAACACGTCCAGGGATGGTGACTCCACCACCTCCCCAGGCAGGCCATTCCAATATTTTATCACCCTTTCTGTAAAAAAGTTTCTCCTAATATCTAACCTGTATTTTCCTTGGCGCAACTTAAGACTGTGTCCTCTCGTTCTGTCAGTTGCTGCCCGGAAAAAGCTGTAGCTCCCAGCCTGTAATCCAAAGGCTTGGGCAGTGCTTTGCCATCACCTGTGGTACTGTGATCARAGGATGCTTCCCCTCTGCTTAAGGGTGTGTCTAAGGCTTACAGCCTCACAGTCARTGGGATGGAACAGTGGAAGTTCCCAATCAATTTACAGATCTGGCTCCCCATGGACARTCACAGGTAGCAAGTTGACTGGCCCTGTACAAAGCTGGTGTTGCAGCAGGCTGGGATACAGCAATAAAACATTTTCTCTAAGATTCTGGCTCCACAGAGCACCTCACTGGAAGTGACAAACTGCAACAACACCTAAATCAGATATTGCCTAATAACAAACCCCCATACAGTGCAGAGTGAGGTGCCTGCCAAGCTTTTACAGTGCTATCTGCCTGCCAAGTCCTGGTCATCACTCAGAATGATGATTTGTACCTGGGATKTCTACCTCGCTGCAGTTTGAATTCCCCTCTGGCCTGTTGCCCTCCAGCTGGTTTTTGAGGTCGAAGCTGACCGACAGCGTGTGGAGCTGGGGAAGGGCGCTCAGGACGCAGCGAACGAGCTCCATGCAGGGCATGTGGGAGAAGATGTCGCTCACACGCAGCACGCGGAGGCGGCATTCGGGGTGGCGGGACAGGGCCCGGAGCCCGGAGAGGATGCAGGAGATGTTGGCATCCAGGCCTGGAACAGCATTTGTACAGAAAAGTGTCAGCTGTGCCTGTACAGACACCAACACTCACAGCTGGAGCTGCACCARTGGCAGCCCGAGTCAAAGGCCTAACCCACAGACTGCTTTATCCACACATCCTTAAGCTACACTGTGTACATGGGAGATGGAGACCTGGCTTTTCTCTTTGCCCTTCCCTGAAAGAGCATTTAAGCACAAAGCCAGGGGCTGTTCTGGGGCAGAGGGATCCCATTCTCTCCCTCAAGTCCCCACACTCATTAAAAAGTCTCGCCCACCTTTCTCAAGATGGGGCACCAATACTCTTACAATGCCCCCTCCCGTGAAAATAAACCCAGGGTATAAACCTGAGCAGGGTTGGAAGGAAGTGCCCTATTCACAGCACTGACCGTTGTAAGACAGAATCAGGTTTTCTAAAGACACCCAGGAGCTCAGCAGGTTACTCAGAGTCCGACACATCTCCCCAGTCAAAGGAATGGAGAACAGTTCCAGCGTGGAGACACTTCGGAAGCGGTGAGCAGTTTTCAGAGAAAAGATTCCAGCAGATCCTCTTTTCTTACAGCCAGYATGGCCAGCACATGGAGATCCTGTGGAGGAACTAGTCCAATTCTCAGTGTTCTCTCCCTCTGTRGTACTGGTTTTGTCCAGTAACCCTGAATTATCCTCTCTAGCAACAGTAAAAACAAAATCATACAGATCTTCTGAGTCAGAATAGTGTCCCCTGCTCCGTCTGAGGCAGCGACGTTTCCTCCCCACTGCAGGTTTCAGCCGTCKGCGTGTCTTTCGAGGAACAGGGTGACAGGACAGCTGCTCTGAGCTGGAACAAGCGGGAGATCCCTCCTGAATGCTGGTGTGGTCACAGGGCAYCTCGGTGYTTGTGTCCTCACACACTGGGTTTTGCAGGGGAGGACTTCTGGGGCCAGAGAGRACAGAGTTCATGTGAGCATCAGCCTCTTCGGAGGATCCCTTCYGCTTCTCACCATCACTCCCCTCCTGCTCAGCATTACAGCCCCTCTCTGCTCYCTCCTGTGCTGTCTCCTGGCTTTGGGCTTTGTCCTCTCTGCAAAGGTCACACAGGCTGCCATGATAGGCAAGGGTGCTTCCTGAGCGCCAAAATCCAGCGCTCATGCTCAGGATGAGAACGAGAAGAACYGTGTCAGGAACAGGCCAGGAATACATGGACACCTGGCTGACRGAGCCATGGTGGATCAGCCGGTGAAGGAGCAAAACCAGCGAGCGCCTGATGGACTGATCGCAGGAGAGGAGATGCTGGAAYTTCAGGATGCGCAGGGAGCCAGCCAGGTTTTCAAGCACTTTGTGGTTGTGCTTGGCAGTGAGTTCCACAGCCCCCTGGAGCATGTTGCACAGGGTGAGCTGGGAAACGTGTCGGGAGCTGTGGAGCAGCGGTGAAAAGTGACGGTCATTGAGGCGCCAGTCAGAGGAAACGTCCAAGACACCATGGAGGACGTTGGAGAAGAACGTTTCAAGGAACTTCTTCCTCCAACAGGTTATGCTCTGCAATTGAACAACAGGGCATAGGAACAAAAAGTCAGCATCCATTTTTCTTGTTCTTTTCAAGTTAAATTATTGCTGTCTGCTAATCTCATGTTCAAAAAAAACCCTCCTGCTAGCTCCACTGAGACCACCTCTCTAGTTCTCAGCATCCTTTAATGCTTTACACAGGGCTTACCTGAAACAGAAGCCAAAGTTAAGAGAATAAAAGCAGAGAAATTTAATAAAGGCCTACAGGTACATTGCAGACGGACAAAAGCCTCCTCATAAGGCTACACCCAAAATGGACAAGGAGTCACAAGATCTTCACCTTTTATAAGTTCTGTTTTGGTAACATATTGGGCTTCCATTCTCCAGTTACACCTTCTGGTGATGATGTCAATCTCCCTAAGCTTGCTCCCCCCAATTCTCCATTGTTTACATATTTTGGGGCCCTGAGGTAGTAAGGTGTCCCTGAGTTTCAGGCCTAGAGAGGAATTGTTTTGTCTAAAGACAGGACAACAGTGCTGTAGCTTTAGTGCTGTACACTGGAGAAAAAAAGAAGAATACAGACACATGAAAATATAAAAGCTAAAGATCCTAAGGCATCACCTTCCTCAGTGTATTCCTTGAAAACCCACTGATCTCTTCATCCTCCTGACCTAATTTAAACACTCAGTGGTTTGAAGCTGGGCTATTTCTTTTGCCTATTAAAAACCACGTCACCAGCAATTTTCTTCCAGAGCACCTATTTACAGGCTATCATTAAGTTGTCTGTTGATGATTCTTTTACAATGATGAACCAGTGAAGCTGCTTCAGTTTTTCTGCATAAAACCAGTCTTCAAACTCACTGTCTTCTGTATTTTTCTCATGCTTTCTAAAACGTTAGCTTTTTTTTTTTTTTTTGCCAGCGTAGGTGTAAACATGACACAAGATACTGTTTTTATCTTCTGTTTCCTTGAGAATCTCTTAAGACAGAGATTTGCTTTTTGGCAAACTCACTGTTGGGAGATGAAGGGTGTGGCTGTGCACTACAGTTTCTTTTTAAACCCTGTTTTCCAACGTACTGGTTTGTACTACCAGGGTCACATCTTGGTCCATAGCTCTACGAACACTTATAAACAGGTGCCAGGAATCAGTGAATGTTTCGTATTAGAGCTGGCCAGAAACAAAACCTCATGGAAAATGGCAGAAACAAAGCACCTGTGTCAAGCATCGTGTCCCATCACAGCGTTTCCTCACCTCSGAGTTGGGTGGCCTGGTTTTCATCACATCGTCCCACAGCTTGCGCCAGATGGGCTGTGTCGAGAGGCCTGGGGGAAAAAACCATTAACCGGCCGCTTTCCCCGCTGTCCCTTTCCCAGTGCCCGGGGCTTGATGGGGTGCTGSAGGCACAGCCCCAGACCCTGCCCAGTTGGGGTGCAGGGGTTGTTCCAGTTTCCAGGGACCCCTCTGGGCCGGGGCTCCCATTCCCAGCCTGGAGGAGCTCCTCTCTCTCCAGGTGAGCTCCCTGCGGCGGGGGGCTCCTCCCGCCAGCTTTGGGGGTGTGGGGCTCATCCCCCCAGGCTCTCACTGCATCAGTTTGAGGGGCCCGTCCCTTCCGCCCAGGGGTGTCCCCCACGGGTTCATCGCCGTCCCCGCCGGTGTCACCTGCTCTCCGCGCGGCGTCCTCGGCCCGCTCGAGGTGGAAGACGGTGAGGAGCGGCAGGAGCCCCCGCAGGAGATGCCCGGGCAGCGCTGCGGAGAGCCAGAGGGAGAAGGCGGCAGGGTGAGGGCAGGCCCAGGCCCCGCGCYCCGCCGCCCCGCGCCGCCCGCGCCTTACCCCAGACATCCCGCTCCAGGGCGGCCATGCTGCGGCTCACGGCGGCCGCRCTCAGCGCGAACAGACTGCGCGGCCGCTCCGCCGCCATCGCCGCCTCGGGCACCGACCGCCCGCACTGCGCCGCCATCTTGGGAGGTGGCAGGAGCGGGCGGCCATGTTGGGAAGGTCACGTCGAGCAGCGGGGCCGGACGGGCCGGGGGCAGCAGCCAGGCCGAGTCGGCTCCAAGGCCGAGACCCACAGGAAGAAGGGAAAAGAAAGGCAGGGAGCGCAGCAACGGCCGTCTTGTCGCGGCCACACATGCGGCAGCTGCCGGCTGCCATGTTTGGAAGGGCCGCGCCCCGGGCCGACGCACCGCCCTGCGGAGAGGGCGCTTCCGCTTCCGGCGCGGGGAGCGGCGCTTCCGGCGGGTGACCCTGGCGAGTCCTTCTGTGCGGCGGSAGCGCGATGGGGCAGCGCGGGGAGCCCGAGGTGAGCGCGGGGCGGCAGCGGGACCCAGCGGGACCCTCGGATGGACAGGGCTCTAACGCTGTGCTCTCTTTCCTTTCCGCAGGAGGAAGAGGAAGAGCTCGTGGTAAGACGGGGAGCCGCGGCGGGGACTCGCAGCTGGCAGGGGCGGCTGCCCGGGCCCGTCAGCGCCCACACACAGGCTCGGGTCGGGCCGGGCCGCGCTGTGCCCGCGATCTGAGCTCCGGGGGGATGCCAGGCTGCGGGGTGGATGCAGGGCTCCCTCCTGAAGCGCTGGGGCTCGGCGGGAAGCGGCGTGCGGGGGTGTCTCTGTGCTCACCGCAGCCCCGTATCCGCAGGACCCCCTGAACACGGTGCGGGAGCACTGCGAGCAGACGGAGAAATGCGCCAAGGCGCGGGAGCGGCTGGAGCTGTGTGATGCGCGGGTGTCCTCCCGCTCCGAGACAGAGGAGCAGTGCACAGAGGAGCTCTTCGACTTCCTGCACGCCAGGGACCACTGTGTAAGTGCACTGTCCTTGCTGCGGCTCTGAGCAGAGCTGCCTTCAGCCACGCTGCAGTGCTGGGTCGAGTGTGAGCTGTGCTGGCTGTTCAGTAGCTTTTCTTTGTTTAATATTTGGTTTCTCCTTGTTACAATAGATCTGTCTGGAATTCGGTACATCATTAAACAGTTAAATTACTCAAACCCGTTGTTTGTGCCCTGCAAATGGCACTGGGCTATGCCAGCCTTGTGTTTGCCAGTTTAAAGTTAAACCTTTTTTAACCTGAGCTGAAGCTTTGTAAGACATCTCAAAAGTTTTCTTAAATGACTTCTTGCAGAACAAGAGCCAGGGGCTGCATGCACTGGTGGCCCAGAAAACCTAGAGGCAGGTGGTAACACCCTGCTGATTTCCACCCCTAAGCCATGAGTTGCTGAGGGCTCTCTCTCTTTGCAGGTTGCTCACAAACTTTTCAGTAAGCTGAAGTGAAGGGAGGCGTGATTGTCCATCTGCTTCCACAACCRGTGCCAGTGGTTCCTGGATCACAGTTCAGCTTCCTGCAGTCCATCCTCCATGCTGAGTGTGAACGAAATGGCTTCCTGGCAGCCTGTCACTGCCTTTGTTCTCCTGGAAGATGTGCAGCTGTGCGAAAAAAAAAACGGTGTTGATGTTCTGTAATTTTCCATATTAAATATTGAGAATTCCCGTGGAAGTACTCCATGTTTATTTCCTAGTTTTTGGGTTTCTGACTTTTACTGGGCTAAGATGAAATCACTGGGTGTCAGAGTCCGGTTAAGGGGGTGAGAGTTTTCCTCATTTGTGGGAATGTCCTTCTTGTGCTGCCATGATAGACAGCTGCTGCAGCCCGATCTTGTGGGGAAAAATTTGTCTGTTAGAGCCACAAAGATTATTTTCAAGACCGCTGTTGCTCAAACAGTATGTTCTGACTACCTTAGACTGAAGGGAGTGACCCTTTTCTAGGAGAGAAAAGTTCCCTGTCCTCGGGGGAAGCTGTCACTTGTCCCTCACTGTCTCCTGCTGCTGCCAGCGGCTGGAAGAGCCTCCTGCTGCAGCCAGCTCTGCATTCTTGCCCAGGAACCCAACCACGTGGCTGTGGAGGTGCATGGTGGTGGTTCACCTGCTCAGAGTCGGTCAGGGTCTCCTGAGGGGAACTAAAACCTTTCTGTGTGAGTTACCAGCCCGTTCTACTCACCTGGGGCTGTCCTGTCCGTACTCTGCCTGCTCTTCTTGCGAGACAGAACGTTTAGTTGCAGGAAATACCCGGTAGGATATTTCACGGGACAGAAAATGTTCTTTGAAGTGGAATGAAAACCACCACCTTATCAATTTGGCTGTTCTTTATCCATGTAGCAGYTCATAGTCCTTTTGTTGGCGTACAATGTAAATTCCGGGAGGTTTGCTGTGGGTTTTTGTTTAATTTTCTGCGGCACAGGGCAGCGTCCAATTATGCCCGTGCGTTTCTGCTGCGAAGCGCGTTTGTTGCCTGATCCTTTCCAGCAGCTGATGCCCAAACCCAGACCAGTAACCACAGAAAGTTTAGGTTGTTAGGGACCTTAAAGATTATTCATTTATACCCACGGACACGGACACGTTTCCCGGGTTCTCGGAGCCCTTCCCCGCCGTGCCGGAGCAGTTCCCGGTCCCGCCCCGGAAGGCGCCGGGCGATGGCGGCGCTGGGCGGGCATGGGCGGGCGGCGGCAGCGCTGCTGCGGCGGGGACCGGGGCTGGGACCGGGATTGGGAGCCGKACCGGGAKYGGGATCCATACCGGGAKYGGGAKCYRTACCGGGAYYGGGAGCCATACCGGGAGCGGGGCCGCGGCGGCACCGGCACAAGGAGAAATGGGTGAGCGGGGCCGGGGCGGGACCAGAGCACCCGGACCTCCCGGCGCTGCTCGCACCCCCGTTTTGTCCCCAGTTTTTGCACCCCAGCGCAAATCCCCCTCTAATTCCCCCATTTCACACCCGCATCGCCGCTCTGTGTGCAGCCCACCCCACCATCCCATTCGGCCATTCACGGGATCCTCAATGGATGAATTTGCTGAGTTTGGAGGGGTACATCAGGATGCAGGTCCTGGCCCTGCGCAGGACACCCCAACAATCCCACCCTGAGCCTCAGAGCATTGTCCAAATGCTTCTTGAGCTCAGGCTTGGTGCTGTGCCCGCTTCCCTGCGGAGCCTGTTCCAGTGTCCAGCCACCCCGTTGATGAAATCCCTTTTCCTATTACCCATCCTAAACCCCCCTTCACAGCTTCACGCCATTCCCTCGGGTCCTGTCACACTGCAGAAAGGCTCCATGGCCTCCTGGCTGCACAGAACCCAGTGCTGGATTCTCCCAGAAATACATGGAGACTGGGAGGGTGGGGGTATTGGGTTATCGAGGTATTTTGTATTTAACACCTCTGTTATTTCCCCACCAGGCTGCCACACTCCCTCGCATCCCATCCACACGGCTGGCTCTGCACCACTTCGACATGAACTACGGCCTGCACTTGGGGGCCCTGTGGCCCTCGGTGCGCGCCGGGCTGCTCTGCGAACAGAAATACGGGGCTCTCCTCAACAACTTCGCTGCTGCCAACCACGTCCCCGAAGAGCTGGAGCTGCTCAATGCTGCTGATTTCATTTCTGAGGCGCCCCAAAAGGCGCAGCAATGGCAGCGGGGTGCGGCTGAGGGGGAAGCGGCCGGAGGGTGCCAGGAGGGGACTGGTGAGGGCAGGACTGTGATGCAGGCAGGAATGGTGACACAGGCAGAGACGTCTCCACCGCTTTGCACCTCCATCAGCTCCAAAATCAAGTGTTACACCTTCCCCAGGGGCGACATCATGCGCTTTCGCCCTGCACGGTGAGAAATACCCCGACAGACTGCCCCTGTCTTTGCCAACCTCAGGGGCTGCTTCAATATGTCCCCATCCTCACTTCCAACTGCTCTTCTGTTTCCTTTTCCCTTCCAACATTTGCTTTTGTTGTGCAAACTCATCCAGGCCGGATGCTCTGGGGCTCCTCGACTATTACCTCATGGATGCAGCATCTCTCCTGCCYGTCCTGGCACTCAGTGTGCAGCCGGATGACTTTGTCCTCGATCTCTGTGCAGCTCCCGGTGGGAAGACTCTGGCTCTGCTGCAGACTGGCTTTTGTGGTGAGTGGAGATGGGTGTTCCCTTGTTCCCATGTGTGAAATAGGGCTGGAAGAGTGTGCTGTCCCCGTTAATGTCTGACCAYTAATAATCTGTGGGTGTGAGAGTTGGGAATCGGGTGTGGTTTTGCAAAAGTGACATTCCCAGTGTGCCTGTTCTGTCCTGTCAGGGCATCTGGCAGCCAATGACATCTCCATTTCCCGGACAAAGAGGCTGCACCAGATTCTCCATAGCTAYGTCCCCAAAGAAGTCAGGGAAACTGTGAGTGTCACGTCCTATGATGGAAGGGTCTGGGACCAGGTGAAAGGTGGCACTTTTGATAAGGTAGGTTTTGATAAGAGAGCTGCTGGTAGGGGTGGAGGAGGTGGGCACGTGAGGGGACTCGCTGAGCTTGACAGGGGGCTGAGGTGGTTCCTCTGCTGCTGCAGGTGTTGGTGGATGTGCCCTGCACAACAGACAGACACTCTGCCATGGAGGAGGACAACAACATCTTCCACAAGAGGCGAACCAAGGAGCGTCAGATGCTGCCCATGCTGCAGCTGCAGCTGCTGATGTGAGTGAGCTCGGCTGTGTTGTGTTCCCCTAGTGCTGGGAGCAGCTCCCCAGCACCAAAACCTCCTCTTTGTCCCCATTTCCCAGTGGAAACTGTGTGTAGTTTTCTGGAAGAGCGATAGTTGTAACACATCAAATCATAGTAWGTGTAAGAAAGTGCAGATATTCCTGGTCAGAATGTCTTTCCTGTCCCCAGCAGCAGCTGTAGGATATAGGGAAAAGGGTCTAAAAGAACAGGATGGGTACAGTTGATTTGGGTGGTGGTCTCATGTGGCATTCAAGGGGCTTTGTCCATCACTTCCCATGAGTTCCCTGGTGTGGCTTCTCAATTCCTGTRGGTGGGAATGTCTGTGTCCYKCAGAGTCCTCCTCATCCCGTGACARTGTGTGCGTTCCTCTTGCTGCAGGGCTGGGATTCTCGCCACAAAGCCGGGAGGAGAGGTGGTGTACTCCACGTGCTCGCTGTCCCCGCTGCAGAACGAGTGTGTGGTGGAGAGGGCGCTGGACGTTGCAGGATCCCAGTTCAACATCAATATCCACGTKGAGGACTTGAGCCACTTCCGGACGCTTTTCCAGGACACGTTTTCCTTCTTCTCGGACTGCCGGCTGGGGGAGCTTGTCCTGCCTCACCTCACAGCCAACTTTGGGCCGATGTATTTCTGCAAATTACGTCGGGTGTAGAAAGGGTGACAGACTGTCCATCTGCTGTCAGGAAATACCCCAACATTTTAGGGAAAGCAGAACTGCTTTATATTYATTTTTCTTTCTGAAATGTTGCAAAGGAAATCTGCTTTTTACTGCAGACATAGGGAATAAATGAGAAAGACCTGCTGTGGTGTCTCCTGAATATTTATCTGCTTGAGACTGAGGTGTTTAATCTAGGAAAGAGAGAGAGGTCTTATCAGAGGGAGCGATTTTTCCATCTSTGTGGGACAGGATAAATGGCCCTGCTCTCCTCCTCCTGTCTGGCTGCTTTGATCCTACATGAGCAGGTTTGGGTTAACAAACACCATCTGGGGATCTCAGCCTTTCTGTCCCAGATCTCACCATCTGCATAAATGAGTTGCATCTGTCTCTGCATATSTGCCTTCAGAGAGAGCAGCCTGAGGTCCTGAAATCAGGGGTTCCTAAGAATGCCCTTCCTGTGTGGCTGGAAATGTGCTTGGGACGCTGGAGATATGGTGCTGTGGAGAGGCCAGTGACTGTTGCCATCAGATAGGAAGGCTGTGGGAAAGTGTGAATGTTCCCATGCTAGATACCATTTAATGTTCAGTGGGCAGGTGCTGGTATGATTTTGAGCAGTGACTTTGTTTATAGAATCATACTGTCAGTGAAGGATTACTGGAGTTTATGATAAGAATTACTTAATAGTTACATTTTTATTTTTGTGAGCACAATACAGCGATGGGAAGGGTGGACATGGCTGTATTCCTCATGGGGCAGCGCATGGTTACATCCATATGAAGTCACTCCAGTGCCAGCAGGAAAATACCGTTGAACTTTTGTAATCCTTTCCTCTCAGTACCACCCTGCTCCTGCAAGAGGCAGCGCTGATGGAAATGGGGGTGCAGGAGTGATGGCCCCACAACATCCTTGCAGAAAGATGCATTCCTAGATTTATCTTTGTTGAACCAGTCTTAAGCCAGTCCTGCAGGGTGGTTCCTTGCAGGATCTTTGCCAATGGCAAGCAGAGGGGTCAGGAGGTGGCATTTCCTTCCTCCTCCCCTCCTCGCTGTAGTCTCTGCACCGCTGGTGGCATCGTGCAGTGCTGTCCCTTCCCGTGGGGACCRTGGTGACTATGCCACTCTCTTGTCACGGCTGAGGGTCTCCACCTCCTTCATGAAGCGCAGGCACAGCTCCTCCTGCCACGGCAGGGCCACGCACTGCACGGCCACGGGCATCCCCACGGTGCCTGACACAGCCTGCAGTGGGTGCACAAACAGTCAGGGATCACCCGGGGGCTCAGACCTCCAGCAGATGTTGGGAAAAGGCCAAAAGGCCACTTGGTTTAGGCCTGTGGCTCAKCCCAGAGGGTGGGGAGGTTGGGGTTTGAGCCCTGTTGGTGTGCTGGGCAGTGGGAAGGCTCTTGCTCTTCTGTGATAGGAATGGTTACCAAATCTCAGGTTGGATCTTTGACACACCTTMCCCCCACCACACCCCACCCAGCTCTGCTTGGAGCTGTCTTGTAGCCAGATGCCTTTTTCCTCCAGCATCCTCATTCCTGATCCATGCCTSACTGGCAGCCTGGGCCTGGTTGAGGGCATCGTGGAGCAGGAGGAAAGTGCAKTGCGGTGCTGTGGAGTGTGGCTGTTGTAAGGACCTGCTCCCAGAAGCTTTGTTGCTGGGCTCCTTACTGGCTTCAACCTATAACACAGGCTGGGGGAAACTCCTTCACTCCCCCCAAAACTTAGTGATTTACCTTTTAGGGGGCTGGGGAGAAAAGCAAGGGGTACATGGGAGATGGATTTGGGGATTAGCAAAGGGGTGTATAAAGAAGACTGGATTTTTTTTGCACTGTGCCCATACTGATGGAGGTATTTAGTGGCCTCTGATATCAGTGAAACTGTTACCTGAGCAGCCATCAGCAGTCTCTGCTCCACCACTCTCCATACCTGTTTCAGTGCCCGGTCCCAGGGGTCATTGCAGCATCCTTGGTAAAGCTTGAGCTCTTCCTCATCCGCCTCGGTCACGGTGCTGACRGGGACAACCCCGGCGGGGAAGTTCAAGACGTTGTACAGCATCGTGGAGGAGATGGCAGCTGAGAGAAGCAGGAGAGGATGCAGACAGTCACAGCCTCCTGTCTTACTTCAAACTTACACATTCCATATTCACTGAAGCTGCTCAGGACTGTGTGTCTGTCTCCACCGTCTCAGAGAGCTCTGTGGTAGTTACTTTCCCTTCCTAAWTCCCATAAAATGCTTGGGTGGGTGGCAAAGCTCCATGGTAGTGGATGTTTCCCTCCATTCTCAGCCGCTGTGKTTCCCTGCCCTCCTGGAAAGGCCCCAGCCTCACTTACTGAGGAGTTTCCCGGGGTATCCCTTGGTGAAGGCAGGCCCCAGGACCGGGCACAGCACCACGTCCAGCTGCAGCTCCTTCCAGCGGCGGATGAACTGGGAGCGGTACACCTGCGGTGGGAGAGGGCCATGTCACGGGGCCATGGCCGTGCCTGGAGCATCTCAGCTTCTCCAGGCACACCTCAGGAGGCAGCAGCAGGCAGTGCTGCTCAAGGACAGAGGCAGAGGAGCATGTTTCCCTCCATTCCAGACATTGGCCAGGAATTGGTCACTCTTTAGCCATCCCCAGGCCCAGGACAGCCTTCACTGTGCCTGGGCATCAGCACTGCAGACAACCAGTGAAGGCCTGTCTGGGCTGACTCAAAGCCCATCTACCCCATTTTTCTCCTCTTGTGCCTTTCTGTCCATCCTGTCTCTTCCCCAGCACCCTCTCCCCTGCACAGCCCCTTTCCAAACCGATGACTCTCCGACCTGGCGCTTGCCCTAAAGCCTCAACTTGTAGCACGATGCCACAAAGTCCTCAAAACACACCTGTATTTGGTGGTGATGATCCCACATCTCCTTCACTGACCTGCAGGTGGAAATCACAGCAACATCTTTAARCTTTAAGAGGAGGAGAAATTGCTTAAATAGTCCTCTGGGTCGATACGCCCTGGTGATTTTAGAATTGCTTAAAACAATACAGCTTTCACAATCTTCCTAAACTTTCCTTTGGCACCTGGCCAAGCAATTAAGCAGCAAATGTCTGGAAGTGCTGGAGAGAAGGTTTCCCTGATGGCCTGGATTTAATACTCATCTCCTCCACAGGCTTCCTGTAATGACCTTATCCATTCAAGTGCCTCATTCCTGCCAGGATATCACTCGGGGCAGTGAAGCCCTGTCCAGGAATGAAGGACAGCCCTGCAGAGAGCAGATCACAGCCTGTCATGAGTCCAGTCCCCCCCAGCTGTGGACATATAGAGGAGAAGGCACCATCCATGTCCATGGACATCCCTGGGGACAGCTCCATCCTACCTCATTCCAGCCAAGCCACGCAGGTAGTCAGCCAGGCGGGGAAACTGGGAAGGCAAGAGGTTCCTTAGGGACATGACATGGGGTGCAGGAGCTTGTGTCACCCTGGGAAGCCCCTGTTCCTGTCCTGACGGATGGACTCACCAGAGGTTTGAAAAGCAGAGCCAGCAGCTTCTTCAGCAGCCTCGGGATCTTGCAGGAATTCACCTGTGGTTTCAAGCCTGGATCTATGATATCTCCTGTGCTGAGGGACGACAAGAGAAGCTGTTTGCTCTGTCTCAGAGACCTGAGTGTTGCCAGTTTGGGTGGGAGAGTTGGGATCTTTTGTCTGTGCTGTGCTCCCAGCCTGGGGATGGAGCTGTTGGCAGCACCACGGCCAGAGAGCTCCTACTCACAACACATCCAACCAGGCACGGCCTCCATCAGCAAAAAACGTCCTCATGAACAGTTCAGTCATCACATAGGAGACCCGAGGTGGAGAAAAGGGCACCAGCTGCACCAAAACAAAGGATTATGTGGTGGCCTGGGGGTGTGAATAGTTCCCAAGACCCAAATATGGGGGTGGTGGAGCTCACCTGGTGCCCGGCTGCCTGCAGAGCCCTTTTGGTTTCCTTCACTGCCCTCCTCATGCAGGGAGGCAGTGGGAAGTAGCCRTCGGTGTCGTAGTACCCGACCCGCAGGGGAGTGGAGCTGGAGTACACCTGGAGTGAAGAGATACTGGTTTAGCGTTCCTGTTCCCAATGGGATTGCTGTGAAAATCCTTTAGACATTCACTATTGACCAGGTCTGGCACTAAGAYTGGATCCAGCCACACCCAGGCTCCATCAGGAAAGGAAAGGGGTTCCTCTGAACTTTGTGATGCAGTGGGAGSGTGTCCCCTGTTCCTTGTATTTCCCTTTTAAGGGACATTAGATTAAGTGACACTAAATTAAATTTACAGCATTAAATTCATAGATACGAGCTGTTGACCAGTCCTGGTCTAGTATTGGAATCAGCTGCACCGTGGCTCTGTCAGGAATTTAGAAAGCCAAGGGGTCCTTTCTGAACCTTGTGACTCAATGGGGAGGTCTTTCCTCCTCTTTGCACCCTTGTCCTTTGCATCCCCAGTCTCCCTGCACATCATTCCAAGTGACTCTGAGCTGATTTTCCTTTGGATGCTTCATCTTTGTAATAARTAACAGAGTGGACCCTGCCATCGAACTTTGCCACCCTTTTGCAAATTTGTATTAAACCCTGCTTATTCCTGCAAAAAAAACCTGTAAAAATGCCTTTGGCAGTGATTCTTTAAGTGACCCAAATTACTCATTTGTGACAAATGATGCCCCTGCTGAGGGTAGATCTGCTCCCATGCTCRAGATATCAAAATATCTGCACAAAAGCTCCAAATATCAAGGACTAACTAATTTTCTGGTTTGTTAATTAGAGGTGTCTTTTCCAAATGTCTACTCCTGTCTTTTTCTCCAACCTCCCCTTCATCCCGCCCTTCAGAAAGAGCACAGACACTCCAAACCAGTAGATTCAACCACTGCTAAAAAGGGTGGAGGTGGAAGAGCCTCCTGAAGCTGGTCTGCTGCAGWGGGAAAGGGAACACCCTGTGTTAAGAGATTTGCTGCAGCAGTTTCTGATCTTGCCTCATCTTCCCCTAAAAATCTCCAGCTATTTGGTCCCAGTGTTGCCTTCTTCCCCACTCTTTCCTGAGTTCTCTCAATTCCATAATCTGCAGTTGAGAAGACAAACAGGGTAACTACTCATTCACTGTTTTTTTTTAATAATAACTATGAGCGGTGCCCTCCAAGTGAACTGTGTTGCTGAAAACCAGTATGGTAAAGAAAACTGGASCCTTCCTGAAGCGGTGCAGCACCCTGGAAGGAACCAAGGCTTGCTGACTGAAAGCCTCACCTCCTCATTGAAGGGGATGGGGGGCACCGAGGGGTCCAGCTGGAACATCTCTGGGCAGAGCAGCGCCTTCATGCACAGGGCCAGGCTGTCCACGTCCCTGGCCATGGGGCCCAGAGCACAGGGGACTGGTGGGACAAGAGCAAACACCACAGTGAGCAGATGGATGTGCCAGACAGCTGCCCACCCCCCTGCACAGCCACGCTGGGGTGAGCAGGCAATGAGGTGGGGTGTTTGAGATGGACTCCAGACAGGCATTTGTKGTCTCAGGTTTTCCTCTGGCCTGCAGGAGAGCATCAGGCTCTTCACAGGATGCAGGGAAAAGGAATTTAAAATTCATGTACCTGCCAGGATGCCGTAGATAGGGCCAGTCACTCCTGACAGGCTGTGGGGAAAGAAAAAGAAGTATATTGTCATTTTAGTGATGGGGAGATAGTGCCAGTATGTTTGAATAGCCTAGTGGGGCCTCCAGCTCAGGACCAGAAATAGACAGAAATTATTTCAGGTATTTAAATTGAGTCATGTGAAACAATGACTAAAATAATGAAATTTTGGCTAAAATAAAATTTAAAAAAACCCCTAAAACAAAACAAACCTAACCCCCTCCAAATCTTAGTTTTGGTTTCACCAAAACTATTCTATTTTGGCATTATTTAACCACTTCAAACCCCTTTTACTTTTAACTCCAGGYTAGATTTACAATGAAAATACTCCCATTTCCCACAAAATCTAACCATGCTGTCTCCTGGGAGAGGTTTTGAGCAAAGCAAAACCCTCTCTTCTCCCTCCAAACACTCACCCAGCAGTTTGCCCTTCTGCCCAGCCTGAGCACGAGCAGGGCTGGCAGGGCAGWCCCAGACCCACCTGAGCCTCTCAGCCGTGGGTTTGAGGCCGCAGAGCCCGCAGAAGCTGGAGGGCAGGCGGATGCTGCCGCCGATGTCGGAGCCGATGCCCAGGATGGAGCCTCCCCCTGCGATCAGAGCTCCCTCCCCTCCCGAGGAGCCCCCGGGGCTCTTGTGGTGGTTGAAGGGGTGCAAGGTCCGGCCGAAGRTGGGGTTGCTGCAGTCGTAGCTGGGGAGAAGAGAGCCAGCAGAGGGGCTGTGAGGGACAGCTGAATGCCTTGGGTTTGTTTGCTTTTCCTTACAGAGAGCCTGTGGGGCATAGCCAACTCATCCTTTCATCCCATAAATCCCTCCCATGCACAAGTGCTTTCTCTCAGCCCATAGTAGCTTTTTCCCCCTCCTAATCCCTCCCATGCACAAGTGATTTCTCTCAACCCCAGGTAGCTTTTTCCCCCTCTTAATCTTATCTGAAAGCAATTTCGGTTGAGGTTGTTGCCAGATAAGGGAAGAGGGATTTTCCAGGCCACATCTCAGGAGCTGGAGAGGAGGCTGCCCAGGGACCTACAGGCTGGGTTTTCCTTCAGAAGCACAACCAGAGGGAAGATTTTTAATGCTGTGTGTCACCTGAAGAGGGAYTGTGGCACGTTGGTCATTGCAAACGGGATGGCCCCTTGTCTCTTCAGAACCTTGACCAGCACGCTGTCCTCCTCCATCAGAGTGTCCAGGCCCTGCACAAGCCCACAGGTCGCCAAGTGCCCCTGCAGAGAGCAGAAGTGACGAGGGACATGGTCAGTGCAGTTCCCTTGTTCTTTTGGAAGGATCACCTGGTGTGTGTTTGATACCAGCCCACCCCCTCRCGAGTCCCTGTCCTTCCACCCTTGCAGAGGGCTGGCCAAGCACTCCTTGGGTTGAAGCTTCTCCTGAAACTGTCCTTGCTCTTTTCCACACTCCTTTTCTCCCCTGACCCAAATGCAGCTCCATAGATGCACCAGCTCAGGATCAAACCCAGCRTCCTGCTGTCCAAGGGAATTCACCAGTGGGTGTTCAGGTAAGCAGGGTGTGAGCCTTTTTCACATACCCTTGGTATTTGGGGCTTGCTTTGGGCTTAGAGCCGGCAGCCTTGTGCAGCCCGTGCTATGTCACGTATCAGAGGAGAAATTTTTTGTATCTCTAACTATCCATCCCTGGTTTTCTTTTTTTTTTTTTTTTTTTTTTTTTTCTGCTGATGGACTTTTGTGCTGTTTTTTTGCTGAGGGAGCGTTTATTTTCTTCACAGTAGCTGCTACAGGGCTGTGTTTTGGGATTTGTGCTGTAAACACAGTGCTGATAACACAGGGATGTTATTGTTACCACTGAGCAGGGTCACACAAAGCTTCTCATGCTGCCTCACCAGCGAGGAGGCTGGGGGTGCACAAGAATTGGGGAGGGGTCAGCCAGAATAGCTGATCCCAGCTGACCAGAGGGACATTCCATACCATATGGAGTCATGGTCAGCATATAAAGCTGGAGGAAGAAGAAGGAAGGGGATGTTTGGGGTGGTGGTGCTTGCCTTTCCCAGTTCCCATCACACAGAGAGAGCCCTGCTCTCCTGGGGATGGCTGAACCCCTCCCTGCCTGAGGCATTAAATGAGTTACTCTTTCTGCTTTGCTTGTGTGCACTTTACCTAATAAACTGTCTTTATCTCAGCCCATAATTCTTCTCAATTTTCCCCTTTCTGTTCTCTCTCCCCCACCCCACTGGGTGTAGGGGAAGTGAGTGAGTGCCCACTGCAGCTGCCTCAGACACAGCCAGGTTCCCTGTGGTGCAAGCACGGAGGGATTGAGCCCCTTCCCCAWCCTCTGTGTCCCACCACTTCACCACCCAGCCCAGCCCACGATGGGACACCCCACAAACACAAAGAGAAGAACCTTGTGGCCGATGTGATCCTTGATGCTGACGGGGAYGCCGTAGAGCAGCCCTTTCTCCTGGTGCCGTTGGATTTCCTGGAGCTGYTCCTCGCACTCTGGGATAAAGTGTCGCAGGCAGTTTGTCTGCTGGGTCACTTCCAGGGCCTGTGTGGGATATGCGGAGGAGCAGGTGTTGGGAAAGAGCAGCATCATCACACAGCTGCCTTCAGCAGCTACCTTGACCTACAAAACTTGGCATGAATAACCCCCAGAGCATCCCAGCTCAAGCCATCTCAAAAAACCAATCCAGTGATGGATCTGGAGACAGAGCATGTTTTAATATCTGCTGTATTAAAGGCTTGCCACAATCCAGCTCCAAAAGACCTGCTCAGCCACCTGAACACACCAGGGCATGGGGAATGTAAGCGATTTGCTTTGTCCGTCTCACTGCAGATGGACACTCACCTTCTCTAAGTAGGTGTAGAGGACAGTCCTGGGGGACAGAGACCCTTCCCGCAGCCTTCCAGTGAGTTCCATCAGGGGCAGGGAGAGGATGGCATCCCTCTGGACACTGGGGACCTGCAGAGGGAAGGTGGAGGGGATCCAGGGCAGCAGCATCCCCCTTTGGCTCAGGGGATGAGGCTCTTGAGTTCGGTCAGCATTATCAACAGAGCTGCTGGAAAGGCAGATCCTGCGTGTGGGGTTCAAAACCAGAGCTGCCAAGTGTTTTGTCCTGAGTTTGGGTGTCACAAGCAGGATGCAAACACAGGAACCCAGGTGTAGAAGGGCTTTGTCCATCCACGGCAGCAGAGGACCTGGCAATGCGCTCCTCCTGGCACAGCGGGCTTTACCCACTGTCCAAGACATAACCTCAGCTGAACAAACGCTGCCCAGGGCAGGAGGTACCAAAGTCCTTGCACACAAGTCTCAGGCTGTCCTTTCATCCCTCAGAACAAGTACAGACAGCACAGGACAGCCCAGGCTAAGAACAACATTTAATAGCTCAAGCCCATCAAAGAGCAAGGAAGTCAGCAGGGACTCACACGTGGAAAAGGTCTACTCAGGTAGAGAAGACTGGCAGTTCTCAGCACCTCCAGGTTTTGTACCATGTATTTATATTTGTACAGTTACATATTTAAGAAAAAAGGTTGTAGAAATACGCATCACTTGCAGCTGGTGTGCTTTATCTTCAGGTATGTTACCTRGATAAACATGAGCTGGTTTACCCTGCAYGTATTCCAAGGTGAATGGAGAGAARGGGAAGGTGGATAGAAATGAGTGTTGCAAAAGGAATTCAGGGCTACACTGCTTGGGTGCCTGGCYCATTCACCCCCGTGTCACCTCCTGGCTGCTCCCAGGGAACACCAAAAACCCTGTGTTTGTTAGTGTTAGGTTACATCATGCATCTTTTGGGCAGCCTGAGGGGAGGTGCCACTGTCTGGGAACGCTGCAAAAGTTCTTTCGGAGACACCCCAAGAGCCATTCAGATGCCAGGTTTTAGAGACAAAGGTATGGGGTGTAACAGAAGTGCAAACTTAGAGWTACGTAGAGGAAAAAGCTTTCTTGCTTCTACCCATTATCGGCAAGAGACATTTTGAGATCGTGAAAGAATTGGGGTTTGGATCAATGAAGATCCAGTGCATCATCACCCGTGCTGTTCTAAAACCTCTTCTCAGTGAGCAATTCACATCCCCCAGGYTGAAGACTCCCACCACATCTCATCCAGCTTGGGGAGGGCAGGGATCTCCCTCTCTCCCAAGGCAGCCTTTCCTCTTGYTGAGGGCTGCTGGCACATCTCCTCCTTATAAAAGCTGTAGGGCTATGAGCTGGAAGGAGGATCTGAAAGACAGCAGAGACCCCAGTGGGACTCARACCCCCCAGAAGGATGGGTTACCTGCTCCCTGAACTGCTGGACAGCCTTTGCCATTTTCTTCATGCCCTCATCCCGGGTCCTCCGAGCTTCTTCCATTTTTTTCTGGATCAYCTTTCTGCCCAGCCATTTCCAGACCACCACGGCTGCCACGGAGCCGCTGAGCAGGGCGAGGGCAGCAGMAGTGTCCACCTTCCTGTCCGGCAGGAGCTGCCTCAGCTGCTGCTGCATCGCCATGGGCATTTCTGGTTTCGGGGGATGGAGTGAGAAAGAAAAGCGAGGCAGGTGCAGGAGACCTTCCCTGAGTCCCCAGGCCCATCCCTCCCCCAGCACCACTATCCTGGGTCAGCAAATAGTTCAGATAGTTCAGCCCAAAGCTGACCCCTGCAGAGCTGCTGCAGCTGGAGCGTGCACTGAAAATGATTAACCACGAGTGGGGAGCGTGAAGTTTGGCCAATGAACCTTGTGTTCCTTGGCTGTTGGGTTTGTAGGGGCTTTCTGGGCTGTGGGAAGTTCTCCGTTGGGGRGGACTGTRGGATCGAYTGAACAAATGAAGGAAAGAMATAGCTGCTCTCCTATTTCCTGTGYAGCCTGGGASGACAATGGGAGARGAGGAAAAAACAGCTTGAAATAACAAGGCTTCCCTGCACTGGGCTGGGGAGTGGCATGCTGAGAGGATGCACAGCTGTGGGGTGCCCTGGGCTCCCTGAGTCCCTTCTGCTGCTCCCATGATGGCCAGAGGCTGTTTTGGCACTGCTGTGGTGTCCTCATGCACCAGGAGAGGCTGTTCCTTCCTGTGACAAAGCATGCTGGTGTTGCCTTAGAGTGGGAAATCCCACAGTCTCGCAGGYCAGAAGCAAAATATTTCCTGCAGACATGGGAATGGCGGGTGTCTGACATCTGTCCAGCACAGAGGCCTCTCCCTGCAAACACCAGGAACCACACACAGAGCTGAAGGCAGCGGCCCAGCCAAGGTCAGCCATGGTCTGTCTGCAACCTCCTCTGTTGGTTTTGGATGGTKGGGCCTCCCTGTGGGTCCCCTCCTTGGGAAAAGTGTTTGGGCAGCCATGGGCTGTGCATTACACAACTTTGCACGCTTCCAGCAGAGGGTGGAACTGGATTTGGAGTGGAGGCTGAAGAGCCCTCTTCCTTCAGAGCTATGTGGTCCTCTGGTGCTCAGTTGTCCGTTGTTGTGTCCATTCCCAGCAGCTCTAAGAGCTCACTGTTGTTTTCTGTCACAGTTTGTGTCAGCTGGGAATGTTATCTTAGTTCTTAATTAGAGAAATTGATGGACTCTGGACAGAATTGCCTTTGGCACCCTCGAGGGAACATTYCAGAGCTGGCAGCAGTGTGGTGACAAATTGAGCTGGCCTCTCCCTGTGTCCCCCCTTCCTTGGGGGACCCTCCTGAGCTATGGCAGGGCTGGTGTGACAAGAGCCACAGCACAGGGACATTCCTGCAGCTCATCCCACCCTGCTCCGTGGTGCTGCTGCAGCAGGAGCCTCCTGAAGCACACGGGAGCAGGGACAGCACTCAGCGATGCCCAGGTCCAGGAATCCACTTCCCGGGGCAGAGGTGCATTCTTGGCCTGTGTGACAGCATCAAAGCCTCTGTGAAGGGCTGAGCAGGCGTGGGAGGGTTTTCTGCCTGTGCTGGGAGGTGTCAGGGCACTGACCTCCACATCTGCACCCTGACTGGTGCCCTGAAGCTGCCCTTCAGCCACTATGAATGTTTAACAGAGACAGCTGTGTCCTGGCTGACCTGGAATTTCAAAGGGCAGATTTTTCAGCAGGCACAGCTGCTTTTCCAGCAGGCAGGATGCTGCTGAGGAAACCCCTTTTCCTATCAATCCATCTCCACATCCTTCATGAACCCGAGGAGTGGTTCTTCCTGCTGCCACSAGGCCACAAACCTTAGGGAACCTAAAGGAAGGAAGCAAAGGAATTCCCAAGTCAAATCTCAAGTGCACAGCAGAGGAGACAGACCTGCCTGACTCGCAGGTCAATATTCACTCCTCTGTGTTGATTTTGTCACCTGAATTGATCCAGGTCCAAGGTCAAACTCGCTGGTGGAGTTCAGTGAAAGCCCCCATGACCCTTTTCACAAGGAGACTCAGCCTATAACAGCTGCTCTGGGGTTTCATTGTGGCATCCATATGTCCTTCACTCTGGACCATCTCAGAAAAAAGGGATTAAACCAAGTCAGAGAGTCCCCTTCTGTCCCCAGCAAGAGCTGCACCATCCTTGCTTGCAAGAGCAAAACTGCACTGATTCACTGACAGTAGGTTTGGCTCTCAAGCAGGCTGGGTCTTGTCAGAAATTTTTATAACGGAACTGTTTTCTCTCTAAATTGGTAAAAAAAAAATTAAGTCAGCTTTTAGTCCATTTTGATTAAAATGACAAAGAATAAACCCTGACAGCTGTGTCTTGTGTTCCTGCATTTGTAACCAAACTGATGCTGTTTTTCAAAATTATTTACAAAATGAGGCATGTTAACCATGCTGCTCTGAAAGAATTTTAAARACATTTCACAAAATAGTGAAATCATAGTGAAATGGGCTGGTCYCCTCTGGGGAACTTGTTGAAGTTGGCTAAGAGGGCTGAATAAATATTTTCTGGGAACTCTCCAGTTTCTGACTCAYTTCACCCTGGAATATCCATAGGAAGCATAAGACTTTCCTCACTCCTGATCCAACTCCACCAGCACTCACAGAACACGACAGCTGCTAAGAAACTTGCCCTTTCTGAACCTGCACCTYTCCAAACACCACGAATATCAGTTGAGAGGTGAGGGTCTGCCTCCATCAACCCTTTTTCATGCTGCTCAGCCAGGATGCTGTTGGCTTTTCCTGATAAACTGAGATAGGATGGGAAGAGAGAACTCCCAGAACTCTCATACCTCTGACAGCAGGGGCTGCTTTTTCTCCTGACCATCCCTACATCTTTCCCACTTTTGTGGGTACGGCACTGTTTTCCTTCAGCCTTTCCATAGCCATGTGGGTTGTAGGGATCCTACTCAGAACTTGCTCTRCAAGGCAGAGACAAGATCATAAAAGGTGCTGCAGAGAGCTGTTAGTTCTTCACCAGAAATCCAAGGAGCATTCCTACTTCTTCCGTCACATCTGGTGTCTTGCACAGCTCTGTCCCCACTGAGTGACAGCGGAGTCTTTGGTGCCCTGATGGTGAGGGACTGGGATGTTCCCAGCAGGAATTTGGGCTTTTCACTGCTCTCCCATGGACAGGCAGGGAATGTGGGAATCTGGGTGATCTCAGTGCACACCAGGAGAGCAGTGACAGGAAAGAAAAAAAAAAAAAGAGTAAAGGAAGAGCAGATTGAGACCATATTTGAAGAGATGAGGATTTGTGCAGCAAACAGCTGTTTCAGAGTGAAGGATGTACCAACCCTAATTCCTGGGGTTTTTTTGTGTTTCAAGGGTGAGTCTTGTCATGTCCAGGTGTTTCATTTCATCCACTTTTTAAACATTTGCTTTAAGCTACTTCAGCTACTTGGGGTTGTTGAAAATTCACCTTCCTGGAAACTTGCTTGAAGTGAATATCTGGGATCCTGGGAATGTTTGTGTCCGTATTGTTCTCYGCCACTGCCTGCTACATAGAGAGCTCTGTCCTTTGGATACTGTGAGGGGAGCACTTGTGTTGTGGTGATGTAAGTCCTTCTGAAGAGTTTTATTTGCTCCTGGTGTTGTGACTCTGCAACAGTGTGACCTGCAAACTAAAGAGGAAGTCCTGCAAAATGAAGTAGAACAAATAAAAAGCTGGATTTTTTTTTTCTGATGCCTCAATATCTCAGCCTTGCTTGGTTATTTATCTGGCCACAGAATGAAATGTGGATTTAAGGAGGGCAGATTTAAAGAGAGGGTGGAGGGAAAATGATCAAAGACCACAGGGTTTTGTGCTGAAGATGAAAGAAACTTGTAAAAACAAAGCCCTTTTGGCACAAGCTGCACTTGTACATAAATCCCTGAGACAGAGCAAAGCCTGGACTTTGGTCAGAGCCTCTGCAAACACGCAGTGCAGGTCTGCAAGGGCTGCACAGCCYGAGCCAGCAGCTCTTGGTGAAGGAGCTGCAGATGGGCTGGAAACAGCAGCACTGTGCTGGTTGGTGTGACATTCCTTCTCCAGCCTGGAGGAGGTCTGGAGGAAGAACTCTSCTGAAAACCTAAAATTATGACCTACTAAAAGTCTTTCTCTGCTGGCATTTCAGCCCCTGAGCTMGCCAGACTGCTCTCAGCATCACACTGCCCACATTTTTGTGGGCATTCTCTCCACATTTTTGCTTCCRTGACAACTGATGTCATGGGCAATCTGGTTTGAGAAGGGCCCTAAGTTTTACTCAGGAAGGTRTTTTGTGCTCTACCCAGCTGAGGCACTTACCTGATCTTTAAATTCTGGAACAGACCCCTAAATCTGTATTTTGTTTCCACCACACCATGTCCACCCTCTTCTGGACATGTCTTTGCCACCCCATTTACATCAGTGCCAGGAGAGCYTTATCCCAGCACCTGTGCACTTTCCTTCAGCATCTGCTGGATCAGAGGGAGAAATCCCCTTTGGGTGCTGATCTGGGAGCGAGAGCTGCAGGATCCTGAGATCTGGCTGGAGGCAGGAGAGGAGAGCAGGAGGAACAGCAAATCCCTTCTAGAACCATCCACAAGAAGCAGCTGGAGTGCCTGGGGTATTAAATTCTTTTAGAAACAGGACTCTGTCTCTTGGTTCAGCCTTGCAAAGGGGTGGAGGGGTACAGGAGTGTAGGACACCGTTCTTTTCTTGCAGGACAAGGTCTGTGCGTGCTCAGATCTGGGTACCCAGGGATTCTCCCTGTTTAGTGCAGGGTTCCCCTCTTCCCTTGGATAGGACAGCTAAAAACGCTTTGCTCTGAGGTTCAGGGTCATTCCACAGGCTCCCCCCAGGCAGGGGCTCCGTGGCTGCTGCTCCCACAGCAATCCTGCAGGAGCAGGGCATTCCTCAGGGCAGGGCTGTGCCAGGGACCTTCWCCAGCTCTGCAGGGATCGGAACGCGGTGACTCAGGCTGTGTGACAGTCACACTCCCTGTGTGACTCAGACCTGCTGCTCCGAGACCACGGGGAGCAGCTGGATGRCTGCAGCATCCCTGCCCAGCCCCAGGGAGGCAGATGAATACCGAGGGCAGTGTCACCCCCGGAGAAATGGGCAGGCTTCAGGAAGGAATCATCCCTAATGATCATTCTTTGTTTAAACACATGCTTGTTTTTCCTTCATCACTCCCAGCTTCTCCTCCAGCCCCTTCCTCCCCACTGAAAGTGAAGGATGGGTCAAGAAACAGCACACGATGCTGTTGGAAGTACCAAGCAGTGTAATGGCCTGAGCGTGGCCACAGAAA